ATTTGCCGTATTTGTTTGCTGTGTGACGTTCTTTCTGAATTCTTTCTAGTTTTTAAGAGACTTATTCCAACTGAAGTCATAATTTATCCTAACTCCCTAATCCCCTTTGGTTTACATTGTAAGTTTGCCTCCCACCGTGAGTAAACGTATCTCGACGAATTTATTATTGAAAACCTGAATTTATTAAAAATCAGAATTTAACTGTTAGTTTGTGTGCTCCACATTGGTTAGGAAATTTGAATTCCACAAGTTTAGACCGCTACCTAGGCTAAAAATGAGACCATAGCGCACTTAAACGCACTTTCTGGGCCAGTATATTTACCAATATTTCAGTTGTTGACTTGTGACTCAATTTCGCGTAGACACCAATAATGGTGCTCATCCGGAATTGGCATGGACTTCGATCGGACCTTGTAACTCGAATTCTTGAATGTTATTGTTTAGTGTAGCTGGACTTCATAAGATTTTCGTAGTGTCCACTTTTCTCTTGGAAAGGCGCTAAAAGCAACCATCACCTACTAAAAGTGACGGTTGTTATCTCCGCCTTCTTCCTTAATGTAGTTGCAATGGATGCTAATTTAAGTGCTCCTTCACCCAACCTTAATTTTAGGAAAAGACACTATGCGACCTTTTGATCATATAAAATCCACTGGAAAACAGTATTCCTCGTTCAGTCACACTCCTATTACAATAAGGAATGCGATGCCAAACAGACCTCCGTTACAAACATCAGAATTTGAGGGAAACTAGTTTGTAGGAAGTAACTGTGTTTGTACTTACGGCGTCGGAATGATGGGACATCCTTCTGTTGTAGAAAGCTGTGACATACTTAAAGTGGGCCCCTTCACACATTATTTATTATACTTGGCTGCGGATACCTAATGCTATGTGGCTATGTTATAATGAATTAATTATTCTGTGGTCGTGATTTGTTCTTGAACGTAGCCTATTTTAATTATTTTAAATTTATACGAGGTCTTTTGCTTCAGGGGTCTGGTGCAATTCGTCCCTGCTGCCACTGGATCTGAAGTAACTCTACGAAGCCGGATAGCCATACGCCAGATATGAAGCGCTCCTCGAGGGTATACGATCATTATTTTCACATTCGGTAGAATACACCTCCGGGATTTTTGCTACCGTCCAGGAGTTCTGAGAGTGCACGGGATTGTCGCAAGAGAAAAGCCCTTCGAATCCAATATCTGGCGGAAAGCGTAAGATTGCGTGAAATGACGGTTCTTAAAATGCGGCAGGATGTTGAAAAAGTATGTGCCTTCCTTTTTGGGTCAATCCTAATTCATTCTAGCTTATCGAGGCATGCCACAAAATTGACAACGGGGAGATCAGTCAAAGTGTTCTGAATGACCTTGGAATTATGCTTGAGTAGCTTGCTTTTTCTCTTTGTTCTTCTTGATACCATGTCTTCTAATCTTTTCCATGTTTTGCATTTGTCTGTATTTACCTCTTCTGCCTTAATCATCCGGTTGCTCATGCTCGCATTTATTTATTCGTAATCACTGTTTCATTACATTATTACTTACTTGAACCTTCCGAATCTTTCCTTCGGGATAGCGCGTGTTGCCTTGAAGAGTTAGATTCTGTAAATTTAGATATTAGATTTAATGGGACAGGTCCGCTTGGTTGTAATAATTTAGTGATTTTATATTTTTTTACACTGGACATGATGCGCGTGGATGAGAGATAAGTTTTCAGGAGCTCACAAACGAGGACAAGATCTAATCTTTAGGCGTAGCCATTTCCGGCACCATGCAACGATCCGCTATTATGAACTCAGCTACGAAATTCCGCTTACCAAACCAACAGACAGTCGCTGCGGTTTTGGTAATAACCAAGCAAGTTTGGGCAGTAAAGGCTGGCATGAAGCACTTTTGCCTCAAGAACCTATCCCAAAATGAGCAGTAGGAATTTTTGAAGCGTTGCCTAACATAGGCCCAGTAGTACTCAACAGATTCCGCCAAGGACGTCCTTTAACCAGTGTTTGTGGCTAGCTATAGGCCCGTTCATCACAGGTCAGCGGCTGATGTCTACGCGTAAATGCAAACGACAAGGATGTTATTGAAGTGACCTTGCCAAAGCATTTGTGAGCAACACGAGGGCTTCCCAACTCAGAAGTCAGGGAAGACCGAGTAGGTTAAACCAGCTTTTACTAAAATAGAAAGCTAGCAGAAGAATGCTATAATTAGTTGCCACTAGCTGGCTCCTCCAGGCAGGTTGCGTCAATCATTAT